AACGTGCAAATGCTTGCGCATTTAATGCATAATATTTGATGGTTGGGATCGAGTCATCCACAGTTGGGTTCAACGCAACTAACTACCCATTATTGGCAGTATAAATAGTACTCTATAGCATTTATTTCAGGGGGAAAGGGGGGAGGCAACTTACAACTTAGCACTCGAGTATTATAGCATTCATAGCAGTTCGTAGCATATTTGGGGACGAACGTCCTTACTTTGTAACGGCTCTTTTTTTTTTACTCCAGGGGGTCTGGGGGAGGGGGCCCTGGAGTAATCAGGGCTGAAACTCAATCCATTGAGTTTCAAACTCTTATGTGACTAGCGGGTTTCGAACTCGAGACCTCCCACTAGGCACGGTAACCTCACAACCAGCTGGGCTGGAATGCTTGGTTTACTTTGTAAGAGCTCGTAGCACAGCATAAGTATGAACGGCCTCACGCCTAGCAAGGCGACGAACGGCCTCACGCCTTTGTAACCGCAGAATTATATTGAAACTTCTTATTGGACCTCGTCTTACTTTTCTGACCTTACTCTCCTAAAATACCCACTCGAAAGCCTTAGGTTGTGTGTTGGGCCTACGGGTTGAAGGGAATAAACCTCAACACAACGTTTATTTTTTACTCATATTACGTCCACTTAGGGGTGGACTCGATTTCGGTACAATCCCGGTTCAGGTTCGGGATCGACCGGTCCTGATCATTGGTTAGAGAAACCCGGCTCCGATCCGATTATATTCGGGTCTAGGCTAGTTTCGGGTATTCTGGCGGTCCGGACCCATTCCCATTCTATATTTTTGCCCCTTCACAAGGCTAAAAAATTCACCATTTCGAGACCAAAATCAGGGCCAGTATCACCCGATTCGGACTCCAAATAGGTGAACCGAGATTGGGTACCCCCTCGGGCAGATAGGGCCGGTTCAGACCTGAAACCGGAAATTCTTGACCCGAATCCGGACCTGGTCCACCCCTACCTCGACTCTTATTAGTTTCCACACTTAACTTCTCAAATTATCAAATCATAACTTTGAATACTATGTTGTTTGCGTATCTCGAAAATCTGCAAAAAAATTAATTATGTTTAATAATTATGATAAACGAGAAGTGTACGGAATTGAAGAAGATTGAACCGAGCCCAAAAAATGTTGTTATATCCTTAACACAAATTTACCCGTAGCAATTGTCTCCCAAATCAGAACGATTTTTTATTCTCGAATGTTGGTCGAAGAAATTGAACAATTGTTCGTAATTTTTAAACTTCCAAAATTTTAAAAAACGCAGGAGCTGATTGGGACTTAAAATGCTCTGGAAAGGAGGCATAATCCCAATATATACGTGTTCAGAAAAGGTGGTGACCCTTCTCTTGAAAACTTGCTTAGCTGAAATTAATTTGTACAAAATTGTTAAAGTATTTGTCCCACACTGGAAGGCTATAAAACAATAAAATACTATATAAGGCTTTGGGTTACTCCTCCTATTAGGTTGACCTTTTAGGATGGAACCACAAGTCTTAACATGGTATCAGAGCCAATTCCGGTTGTGATTTGACTGCTTGTTTAGCACTCATGATTACGGGTAGCTTGTTAAGGGTTTGTTTGGCCCATTTATACACCCTCGTATTGTCCAGCTTGGTTCAAGCTGACTACAGGTAGCTTGTTTGGCACTCATGACTTTAACACTCCCCCTCAATTTGTTCCCGGGCCGGTTTCGGACCTTAACCCACAATAAAAAAACCCGATTTGGGCCGGTCCGGAGCCTGGCCCGGCCCGGAACCGGTCCATGCCTAGGAAGGACGTTCAAGTGTGCAAGTGAGTGAAGAGACCACGTGACCAACAAACCATTGCGCAAGTAGCATGAAACGTATGTTTTGTTTCTTAAAAAAACGGTACTGTATTGGGATCGGTATACCATGTGCATGATATACCGATCCCACAAGGGGCGTAGCTAGGGGAGGACCAACCTTGACCCATCCCAAATTTAAAAAATGTCTAAATTTTTAATGTAAAAAATTTCGTGTGAAAATTTTTTCAAAAATATTTTTTGTACCGGTCCAGTCCGGTGCATTGCCCTAGCTCCGCTCCTGGATCCCACAGTATAATTTGCCACTAAAAACATAATGAAAAAGTTATAAAAGTCATAGCTAACAGAAAACTTCACACCTCAAGTGATTGCCGTTTTCAACTTTCTCTCTCTAGGGTTGCCGTCTCAGGCAATGCCTAGCTTGTTTTGTCCGGCGGTGTTCGCTCAGACGAGTGTGGCGCCGAGAAGGTTGTTGTTATTGGAAGGAGGGGATCACAAGGAGTACTTTGGCAAGGTTCTCGCAAAAGGTTAAAACAACAGGTTTACATGGACAGCTTCGTGGAAAAATACAAGAAGATGGCGATTGGGGTAGGGCAAGAAAAACTAGATCTAGATGAAGCTGATGTTGAGATTGTGAAAGATAAGCGGCGAGCGCGTCCCCCTCCTGAGCCGCCGCCATGGAGAGCAAGTAAATCTAGGGTTTACAAGAAGTCTTATCTTATTTGTTTTGTTTATTTTTGCAGTAATTTTTATGCCTGTTTTGTTGTTTGCTTTTTCTTTATTATTCCAGTTTGTAAGACGTTGATTTTGGATGTGGGTGACAACGGAATTGGGGTAACGGTTTTTGGCTCATTTGTGCCCATTAATGGATCACATGACGATGGTTGTCGGGATTCTACTTGTCGGATTACCCATCATCTAAATGTTGAGATTTCAATTTAAACCAAATTCTTCCAAAAAAACAGAAAACTTCACATAATCACATTCCACTAAGGTGGATCAAATTATTAATTATTGTTCCATTCCGTATTTTCGTATCTACGGGGTTACACATGTTCTTTCATATTAAACACAAAAGTCATGTGCGCCTCACAAAATTTATGGACTTCCTTCGAGATCTCAGGAGATTATCTTATCCATTATCTTCAAATTCTTTAAACCAAACTTTCATTGATCTTTCTATGAGGCAATTCATTTGCACCCTAAAAGATATGTCACTGGATGGATCACAAACACAAATTTACTGCTTTCTATCATATCAAACTTATAGAGATATTATTCCTGAGTAGCACCATAATCATGGACCTTTTAAAGAGCTTTTACTACGGAAACATCGAACTAAAAAAAACTGTCCATATACACATTAAACGAATAACAAGCTCAGTAACTCGATCTCCAACAACATTATTGAACATTTGAACGTTTATCTAACTTCTTGAAAATTCTCTCTGCCACTTGCACTTTCCCCTGTCTATCATATTGAGCTTATTTCAGCATGTCTTCTATTTTAAATGAACCATTAGTAGCATTCACATCATAGTTACATATTTATAAAAGTCAGAAATTTTTATTACACTTAGCATCGAGACAGAGACAACCTCTGTTTGATGATGGTATGGAAGAAATTGATTTACCTTGCACATGACTTTTACTTCAATATGAGAATACTCGATTCATGATTTTAACCTCTCAAATTGAAGCTTCATCATATCATTGATATGCATTATCAATCTTGGTAGTCCAACTTATGTATTGCCAGACACATGCTCAATCGAGTTAAACGTTCAATAACTGCATCGTAACCGCCCTCATTACTCCTCATTTTCTGACCAGCATGTTGGGTGTATTGATGGACTCGGGCCGGGTCGGGGCCGGGCCGGGCCTAGGCCCGATCGGGCCTCCGGGTAGTATGACATGGGCCCGGGACCGGCCCGAGGGTTGGACGGGTCCGGGCCGGGCCGGGCCACCCGCCCGGGTCACGGGTCGGGTCCGGTTCGGGTCGGGTCCGGTTCGGGTCGGGCCGGTTAAATTTTTTTTTATATAATTTATATTTTATAGTTTATAGTTTTATACGAGTATTAAAAACAAACTTCAATTGCATTTATTTGAAATGAAATAGGAACTACATTTGAAAATTAAAACAAACTTTAAGAGAAACATTTTGAAAATTGTAATCAATCGGAACTTCCCGCACCTCCCGATCCTTTGGCTTTGTCACATGACTTCATATGCTTGATTGTCATCCTGAATCCGCCAGAAACCCCCATGCTACATTTTTTCTGGCACCATTTGCAAATTGCGTACCACATCCCGGTCTTCGGGTCCTTCTGCTTATCAAAATTATACCGTATAATGGCATCTTGATTTTCCATCTTAACTTCTTAAGTATAAACTATAAAGTAGATATATAAATAATAAATATAATATATTGGAGAATAAGAGAATTAGAGAGTAGAGAGTTAAGAATAGGATTTAGGAAGAATTGGAGAAGAAATATGAAAAAATGTTTAAGATTAGGAGTATTTATAGGTTTTTTTACCCCCCACCCACCACCCCCCACCCCACCAGCCAACCCCCCCCCCCCCGGACCCCCCCTTTACCCCACCCAACGGCTATATAGCCGTTTGGGTTGTCCCCAGCCCCACCCCCAACGGCTAGTAGCCCAAGCAAAAAAAAAAAATTAAATTAGACCGGACCCGGACCCGGGCCCGACCCGGCCGGGCCAGGTCACAATAATCCAGCACCGAGCCCGCCCCGCCCCTTCCCACCGGTTCAGGTCCATACCCGGTCCCGGACCACCCGACCGGGCCGGTCCCGGGCCCGCACAGTACCGGGCCCGGCCGGGTCACGGGCCGGGTGGCCCGAACCGAATCCAACCCTAGTTGGGTGTTGCCAAGTTAAAAAAACAGAAGGGCAGTATGTCGTTAGTGAGCAATTCAGAAAGAGTCGCGATTTGAACTTCTTAATGTTCACAATTCAATGAAATGCAAAATGTCAAATTGCGCACTATTCAATCTCAAACGATAATGATATCGGGTTAGCTTCTATTGTAAGAGCATCAAGAAGATTTCATTTCACCAAAATTTTAGATATCAACATATTTCTCATATTTTTATGTTATCCATTCATGACTATTAACATAATCATCATCATTAAATCCTCTCCGTAAACAAAATGGAATACTGAGACACATGGAAGCTATAAACCAAAGAAAATTACAAAAACTGTAAAGAACAAGTTCAAATTAAAGAGTTCAATAACAAGCACCCAAAGTGGGCAAGGGACGATGCAAATTGATTACATATCGTGTCTAGCCAGGTTCATACATGCAGTTCCTTTGCTAATACCATGCACTCCATATTACTCTATCAGGACTCTGCAATCTTTTTTTTGGGTTATGAAAGATCATGTGAATTCCTTTGAATAATTCATCAAATGAGAAATGCAAGAATCAAACAAGTGGGCCCATAAAAAGTCTTAACTTTGTAGCGAATGAATTGCCCACTGAGAAAATGAGGGGCCACTTGGGGTCATTTTACCGTGGTTTGGAAGAGAATTTTGATCAATTCCTGAAGAGATCCAATTATGGTAATGCCTATGCACTGAAACAGCTATGGCCTGCATTAGTTAGAGATTCTCATAAGAGCTTAATTGACATAGTAAAAAAAAGTCAATATTTCTTAAGAAGTCCTTTTGTTCTTGAATCTGTATCCCATTAAACAAGATTTATAGATCAATGTACTTTTACCATGCTCAAGTGAGAGGATAGCCGGATAGGAATGGTCAAAGTACTATTATGACTTGGAATTCCATTATGCAGGCCCTATGCATGAGGAGTTATACATGATTTTACATGTCACGGTATGTATACTATATGATCATATTTATAATTTAACATGCTTTTCAATTCGCGAATCACAACTCATTGATATAAGCCTATCAAAGTATATTGAATTGGTTTGTCATTCTGTTCCCGAGAAGATTCAATTGGGATTCATTTCTACATCACATTTGGAAATTAGAGAGCAACTACCAGACCTATTTGTGAAAGGGTTTACTAGCAACTAGGATGATTAAATATGGAGCAAGCTAATCAATATATATATGCTCCACCTTGAGGTGGAAAATTAAGTGTAACTCTAGTTTTACTGGGCTAGCTCACATGTCTCGCGATGTGATAGGTCCTCCAGAATTTACAGTAAAATCACAGAAGGAATCAAAGGAACTTCACAAGCTTTATTAGAAGATGGACAATAATCTGTACAAAGGCAGAAGCCCCCAAAGCCGAAACTTCCAAAGAAAGAGATTATTAGTCTCAGTCTTCCCAAATCCCAAGACAAAGAGTCCAAAAGCCCCCTTCCCTTCCCAGCCTACCTTCTATTTATAGCAGTCCAGCAACTGACTTTATTTAATATCTATTACAACATTTTAACTAATAGCTACTAATCTATTTATTAGTCAATAGGTGGGTCCCTATCAATACTCCCCCCTAAACATCCACCTTGCCCTCAAGGTGGGCGGTAGGAGACAGCCAATGTCTTCTGCTTCTTTTTTCTTGCACCTCTTTCTTCCTAATACCGAACTGATTTCGGGATGATGAACCCTTCCAAAGATAACTGGCAGCTTACAATTCCCACAATCAATCTGGATCCTGATGCCATGTACTGCCGGATGCATACTGGGGTATTGACAAGCAAGGAAAGAGCTGCACTTTGATAACCAGCACATTGATATTGAGGTATAGCTATAACTATTCTTCCTATCAAGTAGGGTTCTACTTCTATAATTCCAACATCTTCATTTAGCTTGGTTTCTCTTACAAGAGCACAAGTCAAACAGTTCAGTTCTGGATCATTGGAGCCTAAGATCATCTTGTAAGGTTGAAAATTTGCTTCAGCTTCCAATCCCACGACCATACTCTTATTAAGATCCAGGACCACACTGATTTTATCCAACTGATATTCAAAAGTAAATTCATCAGCCCCTTTCAATCTATAATTACAGGAGTCCCAATTTGCATAAAGTGTCAAACTGCAGTCCTTAACTCCCATCCCAGAATTGACATTGGAGTGAATGAAGACCGATCCTTCAAATGCACAAATCTGTGGATCATTCTTTCCCAACTGCCCTGCTAAGATACTCTGGACTTTTACCCCCTTTTTATCCTCAATAACTTGATCCTGGCTGTCAGCATCAGCAACATACTTGTCCATAGACACATCATTCACCAATTCTTTTTGAAAATTCTTCCTAGAAGTAACCTGATGGAGTATATGGCTCGGGAACCCCCGACCCACAGACTCCTACTACTCCAGTAAAGGCCCAACAGGCCCAGAAGGCCCAACAGGCCCAAATCACAGCGCCCAGGGTACCAAGCAGCCCGCACTACGCGCCAGGGGTGCCTTCGGCCCCCTGGCCGAAGGCTGAAACTCTCACAGAACGGGTTTCTCGAGCAAACTAAGAAACTGGGGGAAAAACGGCAGAGAACAGTAGCCCTCGGCACCTAGAGCCCTCGGCACTCAGGGGTCCTCGGCACTCAGAGCCCTCGGCTAGTCCTCTGCAGCCGAGGGCACCTCTCCCGACATGATATCCGCCTCACATGCGTACAGATCACCGTACCCTGTACAGACGTCCCATCCAACAGCCGCATTAAATGCGGCCACATGCGGCTGCCAACGCCAACCAGTTGAGGTGACCTCTCAGCCAATGGGCGCTTGACACGTGTCCCTGTCCGGCATTTATTGCTACTATAAATAGCACCCCATTTCCCCATTTGTAACCACGACATTCATACTGAATACACTCTCTCTCTTACTTACTTGTGCTCTGACTTCTCTCTAAGTTATTCTCTGCAATAACCCCTCGGATATATACCCCCCGGGTGGACTATCCATCATTTGGTGCTATCGTTGAGAGGTCGAACAATCGAGAGAAACCCTCCCCCTTCGCCAAACACTAGCCCTCTACCAAAATGGTGAGAACAACACGTGCCAACTCCAAAAACGTAGAAGACAAGAACCTGGCCCTCGGCGACGTCAACGCCCTCGAAGCCTCTCACAGGGCTCCCGAGGGCGGTGTCATCGTTGGGCTGGAACAGGCGGCTGTCGACCTACGCCTTCAGATCCAACAGAATGCCCCCGATGCCCGCCTCGGCATCGAGGCCAAGAAGAAAAACCGGAGCGATGACCAAGTCAGCCCTCCGGTTCTCACCATCGACGTGCAATCAGCGCTCTCCGCCTTCATCCAAACGCTCACTCAGAACCCGGGTGCCTTCGGCACCCTGGCTGCGGCTCAACCCCAGGTTGGGGAGAACATCATACTTCCCCCTCTGCCACACCCCTTCGGAAACCCCACCCCTCGGGTTAGGAACGACGAAGGGGTAGTGGCTCAAGATACGTCCTCCCAGGAAGTTCAGTCTTGGGACCGCCACAATGACAACAGAGAAAGGCCCCGCACTTCCGCCCTCAACCGGCTCGGAGGAGGGCCAGACCGCCGAGGGGTCCAAGACCGCCTCGGAGGGAAAGCACTCCAGAGGCCCCAGGAAAGCGGAGGGTCTGTCTCGAGGGCAGACGAGGAGCGTCCCCCTCGGGACAAAGGCAAGGCGCCCCTTCATGCCGATGACGCTCGCCACCAAATCAACCAGGCCCACTCGGCCCGGGTTCGTTCGCAGGGGGCGGAGACCCTCCCGTGGGATCCCCGGGACGAGATTATTGCGGCCCTCCAACGCCGGCTTGATGAAATGGAGGCCAACAAAGCTCACGCCACCACCTCCACCCCTCATCCAGACCTCAAATACGAGGCCATGATGGCCAAAATCGAGGAATTACAGAAGAAGGTAGCCGAGGGCTCCGGGGAACCCGTCATCCAGCTCCGGACCCGGACGCCATTTACCCCAAGGGTATTGGCGGCCCGAATCCCGGAAAAATACCGAGGGAAACACATACAGCCCTACAACGGGAAGACGGACCCCCAGGAACACTACAGCAAATACCAGAACAGCATGATGATGGTAGGGGCGTCAGACGAATATTTGTGTCGTTGGTTCCTCTCCACCTTAGAGCGGTCGGCATACGAATGGTTCAACAGGCTGCCCGAGGGCTGCATTGATTCGTGGCAAGAACTCGCCCAGCGATTCTTGACACAATTTGACGGGAGGCGTCGCACGAGGAAGCACTTCTCCCACCTCCTAACCATACGCCAGAAGAGGGATGAGACCCTTCGGGACTTCCTGGAGCGCTGGAGGACGGAAGCCGACAAAGTCGACGGTGCTGATGACGGGACCCTCCTGGCCCTCCTACAAACCGTCCTCCGCACCGGCAACTTTTCAAGGAGCCTCATCATTGAACCCCCCCCCCCCCCCCCCCCCGCGACTACATAAGGGCATTGCAGCAGGGGGATCGATATGCTGAGGCCGAGGAGGTGGAGAAATACCACCAGCATCCGGATCGGCATCCCCCGAGGGCTGACAACAAGAACAACCGAGGGCCGGGGGCTCCTCCAAATCACCCAAGTCTTCAGGACCCTCTGATGACCGCCCTCGGCAAGGCCAAGCCAAGCCCGGGGGAGGTTATAAGAGCAGCCCTAAGACTTGGGCACAGCCCATCCTCCTGAACCGCCCCCGGACACCATTGACGCACCCCGTCAGCATCATCCTTGATTTTGCCGAGGAGAGGGGCCTCGTTGAGCGCGATTCTCGCGCACCCCCGGAGGTACATGCTATCAACCCTCAGTTCTCATACTGTCGCTTCCATCGGCACCAGGGGCACAGAACCGATGACTGCCACCAGCTAAAAACGGCCATCGAGAGATTGATACAAGCGGGGCACCTATCCCAATTTGTTCAGAGCCCTCGGCAGGAGGGACCTTCTCATCAGGGACCTCCCCGAGGGCACCACACGAAGGTGAATGCTTGGGTGAACCCGAACACCATTCCCCTCGACAAGAAGAGGGAGATCGGAAACTTGGAGGAGGAAGAGGAGGAGTACCCCCACTACCAAGAGAAAAAACGCCACATCCTCATGATCACCGGCGGCAATACAGGGGGCGATTCCACCAGTAAGCGGAAAAAGTGGGTTCAATCTCTTTACGTGGGGGAAGTCACCCATATGCCCCCAGTAAAGCGGCTGAGGGAGGAACCCATCACCTTCACCAACGCAGATCTCCCCCCGGCTTCTTCTCCTCACAGGGATGCCTTGGTGATTCGGACTGAAATAAACGACACCATCATTCACCGAACGTACATTGACACGGGCAGCTCCGTCAATGTAATGTACCTCAGCACCTTCAGAGAGCTGCATCTGGAGAGGGGGTCCCTTCGGCCCATTAAGACCCCTCTTGCCGGCTTCACCGGCGATACTATTGATTCCGAGGGGGTAATAACCCTCCCGGTGATCTTCGGCGACGGGCTCCATAGAGCCCAGCTCGAAGTGGAGTTCATCGTTGTCAACATCGACTGCGCCCACAACATCATCCTCGGTCGGCCAGCCCTCGAGGACCTCGAGGCCATCATCTCCATGAGGCACCTCTGCCTCAAGTTTCCCGCCGAGGGGGGCATTGGCTACTCCCGGGGGAATCAGAAAATCGCCCGCGCCTGCTATCTTCAAGTCACTAAGAAGGTAAGTAAGACGGAATTCCGTGTTGACACCATCACCGGAACCATCGACCAAGAAGAAAAAAGGCCGAGGGCTGAACCAGCCGAGGACGTAGAAGACTTTGCGCTCGATCCGGCCCAGCCGGAGAGAGTCGTGAAGATTGGAGCCCAGCTCCCAGAAGATCTGAAGACCGGTATCACCGACGCCCTTCGCGCCTACTCCATTGTCTTTGCATGGGGGCCGGAGGACATGCCGGGAATAAGCCGAAGGGTCATCACCCACCGCCTCTCGGTAGACCCCTCGGCAAAAGCAGTACAGCAACGAAGAAGACCCCTCTCGGCCGAGAGAAGGGAATTTGTGAAGAAGGAGGTCGCCATGCTCCTCTCTATTAAACACATCAAGGAGGTGAAATATCCCTCATGGCTGGCCAACGTAGTCCTCGCACAGAAGCCCCCTACCTTCCGCATGTGCGTGGACTACACCGATCTCAACAAGGCATGCCCTATGGATCCATTCCCTCTACCAAATATTGATCAACTGGTGGATGAGACCGCAGGGTGTGAGATCATGTCCTTCCTCGATGCCTTCCGAGGGTATCACCAAATTTTCATGCACGAGGAAGACGCCGAAAAAACTGCCTTCATGACTCCCGAGGGCATCTTCTGCTACCTGGTAATGGCCTTCGGCCTAAAGAACTCGGGGGCCACCTACACCCGGATGGTGGCCCGGGTCTTTTAAGCCGTCCTAGGGCGCACCATGGAGGCCTATGTTGACGACATGATCGTCAAGAGCAAACAATCTTCCAGCCATGTCGACGACCTCCGGGAAATCTTCGCCATCATGCAAAAATTCAACCTTCGGCTAAACCCGAAGAAGTGCACCTTCGGCGTATTGAAGGAAAGAAATAATTCAGTTTCAGGATTCTTTAACACACAATATTGTAGTCAACAGTTACATATCTTTGGCATTTACTATAGTATTATTATTTACCTTATATACATGATTAAGAGATGTATAAATAGCAGCCTTGTAAATCAGTTTTAGACACACAGAAATACATTCAAAACACTTGTTCTCTTCTCTCTATTATGGTATCAGAGCCACACGAGCTCTAACCAGCCATCTCCCTCTCCCTATGGAGGCAGACGACCCCCCTCAGCAAGGGGATCTCAGAAATACCCCAAACGGGCAGCCTACCATTTCTTCTACAAATTCCTCTACTACAGTCATCAACCCCCTCACTCCAGATGGGTTAATCATCCTCAACCCCAGCCACTTCCCAGAAAAACTTGAAGGAACGAATTACCTCATATGGCGTGACCAAGTGCTTGACCTCTTGGTTGGCTCTCATCTCGACCAATACATCAGTGATGATGCTGTTCCGCCACCTGCCAGTGAAGGTGCAGGCCATCTCCGGTGGAATCGTCAAGACCGCCTCCTCCGACATGCCCTTGTCTCCTCCCTGAGCTCGGCGTGCAAACCATTGGTTGGATCCGCACGTACCTCTGCTGCGGTGTGGAAGACCCTAGAGCAGCTTTACGGCACCCGTTCAGCAGCTCAAATCCGGAATATGAAGGATGTTTTCCGCCACACTCGACAGGGATCTAAGGCAGTGGGTGAGTATCTTCATCATCTCCGTACCCTCGCCGATGAATTAGCTAAAGCTGGCCGCCCTGTTGACGACGATGACTTCGTTCTTCAAGCCATGGAGGGCCTTCGACCTGAGTTTGAATCCTTCACAAACTCCATTCGCACGTGTGGAGATAACAGTTTCGGCAACATCTACGCCTTGCTCACCGGGTTCGAAGCGACTCTGCGGCGGAAGGAGGCTCTGGATACAAGTGTTGGCGTGGTGACGGCGAATAACGTAGCGATGGGGGAGGCGAATACACTTACTTCCCGTAGAACTCCAAGGCAGCCTGGCCCATCTCATTATCAGCCTTCTTTATTGGGCCCTGGCCCATCTCATTATCAGTCCAGCCGCACAAACAACTCAGCCCGGGGTTCTACCGGGAGTCAGCCCAGAAACCAGCGGCCCAATTTTTCTCAAAATTCAAACCGACGTGGCCAGAATACTTTTCGGGGTACCACCAACAATATGACAACCCGCAACATCTCCGGGAATAGTAATCCCAATTTCGGAGCAAATATTATGTGCCAAATTTGTGGGAAACCAAACCACTCCGTTATCAATTATTGGCATCGGTTTGAACAACAGGCTTATCCTCCTCAGGTCAATACGGCTGTTACTAATCATAATGGATGGTTACTTGATTCTGGAGCAACCAATCATGTCACCAACAATCTGAATAATCTTACCTTGGCATCCGATTATACTGGCACTGATTCTCTCGTTATTGGTAAAGGTAAAGGTCTTGCGATAGCACAAGTTGGGTGTTGTAAGAATTAAAGATAGAATAGTAATGAGAAGAATGATTTTTGTGTGTATTTCATTGGAGGGTCAAGCCCATATATATATACATTACAAAGATAGAATATTCCTTTAAGATTCTATACAATAATAATATCCTAGAGTATATTCCTAAAATATTCTAAAGCATATTCTAAAGATAGAAGAATATTCTAAAACATATTCTAAAGAATATTCTATAATGTCTTTCACACTCCTCCTCAAGTTGGAGCATAAATATTTATCATGTCCAACTTGTTACATAAGTAACCAACACGAATTCCATTTAGTGCTTTAGTGAACAAATCTCCAAGTTGCTCTCCAGTCTTCACATGTCCTGTAGAGATCAATCCTTGTTGTATCTTTTCTCGAACAAAGTGACAATCGATCTCAATATGTTTTGTTCTCTCATGAAACACTGGATTGTTGGCAATGTGTATAGCAGCTTGGTTATCGCACCAGAGTTTAGCAGGCATTGGTGTCTTCAATCTCATTTCACTCAATAAATGGTTTATCCAGATTATCTCACATGCCGATTGTGCCATAGCCCGATATTCTGATTCAGCACTCGAACGAGAAACCACATTCTGCTTCTTACTTTTCCAAGAGACGAGATTACCACCAACAAAGACGCAATAGCCAGATGTGGATCTTCTATCATCTTTAGATCCAGCCCAATCAGCATCTGCAAAGCATTCTATTCTCATGTGATTATGATTCTGATAAACAATACCTCGTCCCGGTGTCCCCTTCAAGTAACATAATATATGCTCTACAGCATTCCAATGATCCACTGTCGGAGATGACATGTATTGACTTACTACACTCACTGAGTATGCAATATCTGGACGGGTAACTGAGAGATAATTAAGTTTTCCAACCAACCGTCTATATCTTTCCGGATCTTCGAATGGCATACCTTCATGAGTGAGTTGTACATTGGGAATCATGGGAGTACTGCTTGGTTTTGCCCCCAATTTCCCTGTTTCAGTTAGTAAGTCAAGCACATATTTACGTTGAGATAGAAATATGCCTTTCTTACTCCGTGTAACCTCAATTCCCAAGAAGTATTTCAATGAGCCCAAATCTTTCGTCTGGAATTGACTATGAAGAAAATTCTTTAGGGCCAAAATACCTGTATTATCACTCCCTGTAATCACAATGTCATCGACATACACCACAAGCAATGTAATACCTGTTTTCGTTTGTCTGTAAAATACAGAGTGATCTGATTTGCCTTTTATCATCCCAAATCGTTCAATTGATTGGCTGAATTTCCCGAACCATGCACGGGGACTCTGTTTCAAACCATAAAGAGACTTGCGAAGTCGACAAACTTTCCCATACTCCCCCTGAGCAACAAACCCCGGAGGTTGCTCAATATAAACTTCCTCCTGAAGATCACCATGCAAGAATGCATTCTTAATGTCCAATTGATGTAAGTGCCAACCATGAGTTGCTGCGAGAGAAATAAGTAATCTGACAGATGTTAATTTAGCAACAGGAGAAAATGTGTCAGAATAATCAACGCCATAGGTTTGAGCATAACCCTTCGCAACTAATCGGGCTTTCAATCGAGCAACGGATCCGTCAGGGTTAACCTTTACAGCAAAGACCCACTTACATCCTATAGACTTCTTCCCTGTAGGCAAGTCTACCAAATCCCAGGTACCATTAAGATCCAAAGCATTCATTTCCTCTACCATGGCATGACGCCAATCAGGATGAGACAAAGCATCTTTAACAGATTTGGGAACAGAAATAGAATCAATGGAAGCAATAAAAGAACATGAGGCAGATGATAACTGATTATACGACACACATGAAGAAATAGGATGAGTACAAGACCGTGTACCTTTACGTAGTGCGATGGGGAGATCAAGATCTGATGTAGAGACAGGATCTGAAGATGCAGGTGTCGGTTCAGGATATGAGATCGGATCAGTATCAGGAGAAGTAACCACAGGTGGAGGGTGATCTTGCACTTTGTGTCGACGGGTGTATACCAAGTGTATCGGAGGCCTAGGCTCAGGAAAAGTAACATGGGGAAGAACTGCTGAAGTATTGGACTCGGGTATAGTGACTGTGTAAATGAGTATATCATCATTCTCCCTACAGATATTTGTGTCTGTTGATGAAAATGGTGTATTTTCATAAAAGGAGACATCAATTGAAACAATATACCGACCTGTACTTGGAGAAAAACATCTGTACCCCTTTTGAACTCGAGAGTAGCCTAAGAAAATGCACTTTAATGACTTGGGATTTAACTTTGTTAAATGGGGATTAACATCTCGTACAAAACAAGTGCAACCAAAAACTTTAGGAGGAATAGGAAAATTTTCATTATTTGGAAATAGGCACTGATATGGAGTTTTACCATCTAAAACAGTAGATGGCATTCGATTGATCAAAAAACATGCGGTAGACACAGCATCTGCCCAAAAATGTTTTGGCACATTCATTTGGAATAGAAGAGTCCGCGCAGTTTCTAATAGATGTCTGTTCTTTCGTTCAGCAACTCCATTTTGGGGAGGTGTGTCTACACATGAAGTTTGATGAATTATGCCATGTTGAGCCATATACAACTTAAATGAGGCAGAGAAATACTCTTGAGCATTGTCTCCCCTTAAAATACGAACATGTACATTAAATTGAGTTTTGATTTCAGCACAAAAGGCACAAAAATGAGAAAATAACTCGGAACGACGTTTCATGAAATAAATCCAAGTCATACGAGAATAATCATCAACAAAGGTAACAAAATATTTAAAACCAGATTTGGACACAACAGGGCAAGCACCCCAAACATCAGAATGAACCAGTTCAAAAGGAGCATGTGCTCGTTTATTGACTCGAGGACTTAGACTACTTCGATGATGTTTTGCAAATTGACACGAATCACACTGTAAAGATGACACCTTATTGAATTGAGGATAAAGCTTCTTTAACAACGGAAGAGAAGGGTGACCTAGTCGATAGTGAGCCTCTAACACAGTTCCAATGCCAAGACAAGAGATTGATTTGGGTAAGGATGTAAGTGGGTCTATACACATGGTTCGGGAAATTCAGTAGTTGCATACTACTCCTTTGCCAATCGGTCCTGTGCGTGGCCACTTCTCACCTCCATTGGGGAATGTTGGGACTTGTCCCACAAAAGCATTGCTTGGCTGAGGTGCTGATGATGTGGATGAAGTGTCAGTGCGAAGCACTCTACTGAAAGCATCTTGAAGAGAAGAGACCACATCACTAGATAGGATATGTGATTTGGCTGTTTCAAAATCAGACGTAAGACCAGCCAAAAAGCTCATGACTGCCATTTGTTCGCGTTGTTTCTGCTGCACTTTGATATCAGGACTAAAGGGCATTAAGGTATTAAGTTCTTCATACGTTTTCTTGAAATCCATAAAATAAGCTGTGAGAGGCTTATCTTTCATTTCTGCCCTGTAAAAGGCTTTGCACACCTCATAGATGTGGTTAAGATTACCTTTGCCAGAATACATAAATTCCAAATAATCAAAGAGTTCTTTCACAGTATCACAATGACTAACATACCCCATGACGTCATTCTCCATGGAGTTCTGAATCTGGATAAATAATCTAGAATCATCACGAAGCCAGACAGCATTAGCAGCTCTATCAATCTCCTCCTTTGGCGGGTCATCAACTAAGTGGGTGTATTTATCAATGCTTCGTAAATAACGTTTGATAGTTTTACTCCATTCAAGATAGTTAGAGCCACAAAGTTTATTCTCAGTAATTTTAAAATTAATGGGAATAACTTCGGAAACTACCAAAGGCTGAGCATGTTGTACGGTGGAAGTGTCTGTATCAGAACCAGGCATTTTTTTTTTATTTTTTTTTTTTTTGACTTTTTTTTTTTGACTTTTTTTTTTTTGACTTTTTTTTTTAATTGCAGAAATAAGATGCTATGTAATAAGTAAACTTACAGCGACCAAAATACTATCCTTGAATGTCGTTGTTACTTAATAAGCAAAGTCACAGAAAGATAATACCGTTCAAGACACCGGAAAATAGTTCCGATGGATTCTCCGGCGATTGGGTCTGCGATTAGGTCTGCGAGGTCCTCTGACGGCGCGTGTGGCCTGCGGATTTCGAGTGTAAGGTCGGCGGCGGAAGGCGTGACTGCTTAGGGTGGAGGTGATGCTATGTGAAACTGTGGATTTTGGACTGAGGTTCTGAATTTTGGGCTAAGGTTCTGGCTGAGGCATGAACTGAGATTCTGAAAAATACTGCTAAGCTAAACTGGAACAGATTGCTCTGATACCATGTTGTAAGAATTAAAGATAGAATAGTAATGAGAAGAATGATTTTTGTGTGTATTTCATTGGAGGGTCAAGCCCATATATATATACATTACAAAGATAGAATATTCCTTTAAGATTCTATACAATAATAATATCCTAGAGTATATTCCTAAAATATTCTAAAGCATATTCTAAAGATAGAAGAATATTCTAAAACATATTCTAAAGAATATTCTATAATGTCTTTCACATTGGGCATATGACCCTTCACTCTCTTTCTCTACCTAATACCCTTTTCGTCCCTTCTATTCATACCAACTTAATTTTTGTCGCCAAATTATGTCGTGATAATGATGTACTAATTGAATTTCATTCTTCTTTTTGTCTTGTTAAGGACCGGCGAACGGGAGCAATTTTGTTACGGGGTATGAATAAAGGAGACGTCTACAGCTTGCCAGATGTACCCCCTCCACCATCTCCGTCTGCTCACATCTCACAAAAATATTCCCTTAATAATTGGCACTGTCGCTTAGGACATCCAGCCCTCCCTATTACTAAAAAAAAATTGTCATCCTTAGGTATTTCCTTTTCCGATGTTACTTCGAATAACTCTTTGTGTGTCTCGTGTGCTAGTAATAAAAGCCATAAGCTGCCCTTTGCAAAATCATCTCTTTCGAGCTTTGGACCTCTAGATTTAATCTATACAGATGTCTGGGGTCCCGCTCGTGTTAATTCTATTGATGGCTTTCGTTACTATGTTATCTTTGTTGATCATTATACCAAGTATATTTGGTTTTATCCTATAACTCATAAAAGTAAGGTCACTCCACTCATTCAAAAGTTTAAAAAGATTGTTGAAAACTTTTTTCAACGCACAATTAAAACAGTTTATTCTGATGGGGGAGGTGAATACATAACCTTAGGGAAATTCTTAAGCACATGTGGGATTTCTCATTTATTTACACCTCCCTACACTCCAGAGCACAATGGCTTTGCTGAACGTCGGCATCGTCACATTGTGAAAATTGGTATTACCCTACTTCACCATGCATCTATGCCTCTTAAATATTGGTCTTATGCTTTTCTTACCGCAGTTTATCTCATTAATAGACAACCTGCTCTCTCTCTTAACTTCTGCACTCCATATGAAAAACTCTTCCAACAACCTCCTAACTACACTAAACTTGTTGTTTTTGGGTGCCAATGTTTTCCGTGGTTACGACCCTATACCACTCATAAATTAGAACCACGCTCCAAACCATGTGTCTTCCTGGGATATTGTGATCAACAAAGTGCCTATCGTTGTCTTGATCTTACCACCAACCGTATCTTTGTCAGCAGACATGTTGTGTTTGATGAGTCAGTGTTCCCTTTTTCTACATCCTCCCCACCCGTCTCAAATATCACTTCTGAAGTTGATCACTGGCTTTCGCCTTCTATGTCTTATTTTCCCATTTCAGGTACTCTGGCTGCGGGGGCGTCTCCTCCAACTCATACCTCGGCTCAACAATTGACTCTTGACACGTCACCCACTACCTCTACTCAAACTGATATCCCGCTTTCTCCTCTCCCTAAACCCACACCACCACAAATTATTACTTACCAACGCCGACCCAAACCCAATTCTCCTATCCCCCCCCCCTTGTTTACCTGCCACTGATCTCACCACCTCAAATCCACCCCTTGATACTCCACCGCCCAAACGTACCCATCCGATGACCCTTCGACCCCGTAAACAAGCCAATGTTACCACTGTTGATCCTTTACCTCACCATATAATTCCCACTTGTGCTTCTCAAGCTATGCAGGTACCACAATGGCGGAGTGCTATGACAGTAGAATTTGATGTCTTGGTTCGACAGGGCACTTGGGATCTTGTTCCGGCTCAGCCTGGTCAAAATATTGTGGGTTGTAAATGGGTATATACAGTGAAGTATAAACCGGATGGCTCCTTGGATCGCTATAAGGCTCGGCTAGTGGCTAAGGGCATCCATCAGCGCCCCGGGATTGATTATTCCGACACCTTTAGTCCGGTCATCAAACCGGTCACCATTCGTATTGTTCTGACTATTGCTCTTTCTCATGGTTGGCTAGTACATCAGTTAGATGTCAATAATGCATTCCTACATGGGACTCTTCAGGAGGAAGTTTACATGAAGCAGCCTCTGGGCTTTAATGATGGTTCTGGGTTTGTTTGTCGCCTTCGGAAATCTATTTATGGCCTTAAACAGGCACCTCGTGTGTGGTATCAATCTCTAAGTGGCTTCTTTCTGTCAATTAGGTTTTCTCAATTGGTTGTTGATGCCAGTCTGTTCATCTTTTCCTCCCATTCATCTTACATCTATGTTTTGGTCTATGTGGATGATATTATTGTTACTGGCTCTACACCCGACTTGATACGTCAGACTGTTGACTCATTGGCCCATCGATTTTCTATCAAGGATCTTGGCTCCCTACACTATTTCTTGGGCATGCAGGTTACTCCTACACAGGGCGGACTCTTCCTTGATCAACATAAATACAATATGGACTTATTAAAAATGTTAAAAATGGATGAGGCCAATCCGGTAGCTACGCCGTTAGCTCCGTCTGCTTCATTAACCCTGTTTGACAGTTCAGGTACATGTGATGCCACTCTCTATCGCCAGGTCCTCGGGTCACTTCAATATTTGAATCTTACCCGTCCAGATGTTGCCTTTGCTATTAACAAACTGGCTCAATTCATGCATAAACCTACGGTCAATCATTGGCAACTTCTCAAACGTCTTTTGCGCTATCTACAAGGAACTGCTTCTCATGGCCTGTTTCTCTGTCCTAGCACATCCCCCTCTCTCCGTGCCTTTGCTGATGCTGACTGGGCAGGGAACCCTGATGATCGTTCTTCTACTAGCGCATATGCCATTTTTCTCGGGGAATCTCTTATATCTTGGAAATCAGTTCAGCAACGTACCATTGCTAAGTCTTCCACGGAAGCTGAATATTGAGCTCTTTCCACCGCTGCCTCTGAAATTATTTGGATTGAATCTCTGTTGCGTGAGTTGCGGCACCCGCTCCCTTCTCCTCCACTCCTCCTTTGTGATAACAAAGGTGCCACTACGTCTTCAGCAAATCCTGTCTTCCACACTCGCATGAAACATGTGGCAATTGACTTTCATTTTGTTCGGCAGCGGGTTCAACGTGGCCTTCTTCAAGTTCATCACATTCCATCCTCAAATCAGATAGCTGATGCCCTCACCAAACCGCTCCCCCGGCAACGCTTCATTCTTCTTAGAGACAAGCTCAGGATTCTTGGCAGTGACAGAATACCTGGCTTGCGGGGGCGTATTGAAGGAAAGAAATAATTCAGTTTCAGGATTCTTTAACACACAATATTGTAGTCAGCAGTTACATATCTTTGGCATTTACTATAGTATTATTATTTACCTTATATACATGATTAAGAGATGTATAAATAGCAGCCTTGTAAATAAGTTTTAGACACACAGAAATACATTCAAAACACTTGTTCTCTTCTCTCTATTACGGCGTCCAAGGGGGCAAATTATTGGGCTACATGGTGAGCCGAAGGGGTATTGAGGCCAATCCCGAGAAGATCCAGGCCATCATCGACATGGAACCCCCACGCAATGTGAAGGAAGTTCAACGGTTGACGGGCCGCCTGGCAGCCCTCAACCGCTTTCTATCTAAATCAGCGGAGAAGTCTTTACCCTTCTTCCAAATCATGAGGAAGACGGCTGGTTTTCAATGGACTTCAGAATGCCAGGAGGCTTTCGACGAGCTCAAACGATATCTATCTTCACCTCCTGTGCTCTCCAAACCCAAGGTAGGGGAGACCCTCTACCTCTACCTTGGGGTCAGCCTGGCGGCCATCAGCTCTGTGCTCATCCGGGAGGAAGACGGCATCCAACATGTCATCTTCTACGTTAGCAAGACCCTAAGGGAGGCCGAGCTCAGGTACTCTCCTGTGGAAAAAACGGTGTTAGCCATCGTTTGGACCGTTAAGAAGTTGGGCCACTACTTTCAGGCTCACCCGGTTCAGGTCCTCACTCATCAACCCCTCGGCGCCCTCATGAGGAGCCCCACCAGCTCCTCCCGCATGGTGAAATGGACTATCTTCTTGAGCCAGTACAACATTGACATCCGTCCGAGGCCTGCCATCAAGGGCCAAGCCCTGGCGGACTTCGTGACGGAGTGTACCGCAAGGGCAACCACGGACGGGGAGCCCTCGGCTACCTCGGACGACTGGTGGACCCTCTACACCGACGGCTCCTCCGCGACCAAAGCATGCGGGGGAGGGGTAGTCCTCATTACTCCCGAGGGCTTCAGAGCCTACTATGCAATCCGCTTCTCCTTCAAAGTCTCCAACAACGAGGCCGAATATGAGGCCCTCCTATGTGGC